AAATTATTCAAAATTTAAACTACTTAAAATAATCTGTAGAAGAAAGAATAACACTAGCCTTTATTTTGCCGGTTGAGGTTGGTTTTCGGTTTAATCCGATTACAATTAGTTTCACATTCAATTTCGGTTCGGTGTCATTGGTTGGATTTTGTCTCGGTCTACTTCTTCTTCAATCTTCAGAGAAGAATATCTGTATCGTCGTCAGTGTCACTCAACCTTCTTCTCCTTTAAACTGTGATGCGACGAACACAGCCACCGGAACTGGCCGTGACCGGTTTATCTGAGAATCTCCAGGGAGGTATTTCCGGCATAGTGAAACGAGCTATTGTGATCGGAAACGGCTGCGCCGGCGCGGAGAATCAGTGCATCGGCCTTGTTCGATCCTTAGGCCTCTTCAATCGCCACCTCTATTATGTAATCTCCGCTTCTTCCCATAACTCTATTCGTTTTTTGGTTTCCTCTATCGGAGAAATGAAGTGTTTCTGTATCCATTTTTACTGTTCAGAGTGTCGCTAGGCCAAGAGGAGGAATCAGTAGGTGGCTTCATTGGCTTCCTATCTTTATTTACAAGAGGCTTGACCATTTTATCAGGAATATATGTGCCGGATTCTCCATTAAAGCAAAGGAATCCGATTTCTCTGTAGCCAGAAGTTCTGGTATAACTTTAAAACTTTATCGAATGTTACTCACACTTTGTCAAATAATTCCATTTTGAGTGAAGGCAAAATCTAACAAGAGATTGTTGGAAGTGATTTGTCTCCTGGAAATGGCTGTAGAAATCACGGATGTGTTTGAAGTAGCTGATGCGAAGCAGATTGCTGCGATGGCTCGTAGTACGTTTGACAAGTATTGTTTTGTCTTCTTGAATTTTCAGCTGTTTGATTTTGTTTTCCTTCAGAATTGCAGTTTGGTCATCTTTTGTTCTGCATGAGAACAAGTTTTTGATGTGATCTTGAATCAGCTCAGTGGTTGTCTACTTAAGAGTATTTGAATGAACTTTTATGCTCTCATTTTTGGAAGCCAATGGATCATTGAGATTTGTTTTTATATAGAACTTTGAGAGGCTATGTTTCTTGGTTTTTCTCTCTTATGCTAAGGAATGGCCCGTTGTTAGTGGTGGCATCTGGTCGTGATACTATTTCTGTCGCAAGCTCCATAAGACGTCTAGCTATGGAATATGTTTTTGTTGTTCAGGTTAAGTTTCGTCCTTTTTAAAATCTACTTTCTATGGCCTTTTCTTTGGTATGATGGTTTTGGCAGATTTTTTTCATGTGATTTATATCTGCAAATGCCAAATCTTGGCCTCTTGGTCTTTGTTTTCTTGTCGTTTGTACTTTTATGTGTAGTTTTAACTTCTGCATAAGTAAATTTGGTTAGCTGTCTGCTGTTTTTCCAGGTGCAACATCCAAGGTCGCATCTCGAGAGATTTGATCTAGTGATCACACCTCGTCATGATTACTATTCTCTAACACCTGAAGGGAAGAGGCAAATTCCTTTCTTTCTCAGGCCATGGGTAACTCCACGAGTACCTCCAGGTAGAAATGTGGTATGTGTCTTTTGCTATGTTCGTGAAAAGGCATTTGATGGCAAGTAATTGTTATTTTGTTGCGGTAACAAGCTTGATTTCTGAAATCCAGTTTCTCACTACTGGAGCTCTTCATAATGTTGACTCTTCTACTCTAAGAACTGCTACTTTGGAATGGAAGGACGATTTTGCTTCGCTGTCAAAACCTTTGGTTGTACTTAATATTGGAGGACCTACAAGTAAACACATTTTGCCTCTACATTTTTTATCTTGTTTATTGACGTTGTCATTATAACTGTGACTAAACGTGCTGTGCTTTTTTGTTAATTTACTGTAGGGAACTGTCTGTACGGCGTTGATCTTGCTATGCAATTGTGTGGTATGCTTCAGCGTGTCCTCTGGAGCTGTGGAAGCCTAAGAATATCGTTCTCAAGAAGGACACCAAAGAAGGTAAGTAAGTGTCTACTTAAAATATCACCATCATCTTTTTGTCGGTAAAAGGTCATCATGTTATTTTAATATTTCAACAGGTTGCAGAAATCATAACCAGAGAACTGAGCTCTAACTCCAAGGTCTACATTTGGGACGGAAAAGGTGAACGAATTTTGTTATTCCCAACTAGTCCTTGGCAAAGTTTGATGATTTCTCTTCTTCCATTTCTCAGACCCTAATCCGCATTTGGGGCATCTAGCTTTGGCTGATGCTTTTATCATAACTGCTGACTCTGTAAGTATGTTGAGCGAGGCATGTAGTACCGGGTATGTTTAAGACAACAACAACCTTTGCCTTTTACTCATTCTGGACTTTATTTCTTCAGATGATATTGAAATTTCACTCTTGACGCAGGAAACCAGTGTATGTTGTGGGTGCTGAACGGTGTACATGGAAATTCTCTGACTTCCAGAAGACCCTCCATGAAAGAGGAGCTGTTCGACCTTTAACCGGCATGGAAAATGTAATTCTATTAACTCTATTACAGTTTTCCCCCTTGCATGATAGCTATAATCCACTACTCCCTTCTCTCTTCTATTTTTGTTAATCCTGACCTTAGCTTCTACGTTGATTTTCATATACCTGAAGATGTTTGAGAAGTGGAGTTACACTCCTCTAAACGACAATGCAGAAGCTGCAAAGCGTGTGATTCAAGATCTGGCTGAGCGTGGATGGAAAATTGAGGCATGAACAAGTTTTCCAGAGTAACTGTTTCTTTCTCTTACCTATATAGACTAAAAATTATGATTTTCGGGATGGGAATAAGAGAAATCTTTTTGACAATTGAATCATAATTCAAGGTCGTATACGTAGCTCATTGGTTCAACTAGTAGCAATTGAATTTTGTTAGTTTTTTTGTTTTGTCCCATTTGGATATATTGATCTACTGATTGATGATTAGTTGGAAGAAAGTTTATGAGCTTTTTGGGATAAGATAATAAAAAGTCTTCAATACCCGGGGATAAATAATGTGATGATCCAATTCTTATTATTATTTTAATTACTTGTTGACTTGTATAATTTTGTTGCCAACTCCACATCTTGGGGGAAAGAAATCAACAACTACTCTTTCTCTACTCCATTGTTACTATTAACAAAGTCCACCACCAAAACCTAAACCCTATAAAAACCCCAACCCCTAATTCCATCACACTCAAAGCAAAAGTATCCAACACTATTCCTCAAACAAATCCTTCAAGAAGTTTTTTCAGAAGTCAAAAAGGAGAAAAGATGAAGAGTGACTCCATTGCGGTTGATGTTCCTGCAGAGTCTAGCTCAGCCATTAAAGGCAAAGCTCCTCTCCTCGGTTTTGCCAGAGACCACAGTGGCTCAGGAGGTTACAATAGAGGCCTTTCCATTTTCGATTTCCTTCTCCGTTTAGCAGCCATTATAGCTGCTTTAGCTGCTGCTGCCACAATGGGGACTAGTGACGAGACTCTCCCTTTCTTCACTCAGTTCTTACAGTTCCAAGCTAGCTACGATGATCTTCCGACTTTCCAGTATGATCAATACTGTT